ATTTTGTCTATAAATTAATGTTGACAATTCAGCAATCACGTTTAGTCTTAATATGTAATCTTAAAATAATAATAATAATAAATAAATAAATAAATAGGAGATGATATAAAACTTATAGTTGGACTAGGAAATGTAACTACTCATGATACATATGTTGGTCTTCCTAAATAAGTGGTATATATAAGTGGCATGTTATTTTGACAATTAGAGGGAAAATGATTAGGAGGTTCAAGGATGGCAAGCCATGCCTATTCTTTGCAGGATATGGTAGGTATTAGTTGAAGTTATGACATGGTCAATCTCGACATATTTAATCAATATATGTCAAATTTCATAATCATTATGTCGTGATCCTCTATTGAAAACTATAAGATTCTAAAATTTGTCTTTCAATGTAATGTAGAGGAGGATTCTTCAGTTGATGGTTGTTTCGCGCGTGTTAATTCGCTAATAATTAAAGAGGATCAGACGATTGTGTAAGGGACGAAACCTCTTGAGACAAAGTCCCAAAAAGGGGTGTTCTTTTTATTGGTGATGAACTTTACAATTGGAAACGGAAAACAACGTGCCTCCAAGGGGCGCAAGCACACGAGTTACAGAAAAGGAAGTGTTTAAGTCTAAAAGCTAAAGGAATGAAAATTACATATTCTCTGTTCGAGAGTTTTGGATTCGATCCTTTGCTTCTATGTTCTTTCTCCCTTTTATACTTCATAGGTGATCCCTTTGTGATTAACTGCTTTAAAAAAACTGCCTGATCGCCCTATAACTACCCACTTTCTTTGTAGTGGCCATTTTGTCATGAAACTGTCCTTTTAACTACTGCCATTATCTTGCATCGTTCAACCGCTTTCGATTGAACCCCTTGAGTCGTGGAACGTGATAAGGTTACTTTAGCAACTGCCTCAATAACTGCATTTCTTGACAATCATAATGCGTTATGTTTGTTGATACCTTGGGCGACTTGAAGATTTGGGCGAGACTCTGGGTGACCGTATGCCACTCTATTCGTTCAGATTTTGAGCGACTTGCAAACTTGGGCGATGGCGTTACCGCACTATTGGGCCCCTTATTTGGGCATTCACCTTAATTCGTTCAATTGGATTTCGTTCTTTGGGCTGTCTGATTTGGGGATCCTCCAATTGGGCTTTACTCTCTGGGCTATTCGATTTGGGCTGAATTTTTATGTGTCAACAATTACCCCCCAATGTGGCAGAATTAAAAATAATTATTGAATTTTTCCATATTCACTTCACGTCTCCAGCAACGTTCGCGATTCCCAAAGAATTTCAATCATTGTTTCCCTCTATAACTTGAAAAGGTGCGTCGCTTTGCAAACCCTTATAAATTCCAAACACGCCATTTTACTGCTACCAAATCACGTTTCATATTTCTTGCGCATCCTTCACGATTCACTGTTCATCTTTTGCTTCCTTGTTACGTAACTCTGCAAAACTTCGTTCCTTCTTCAATGGCTGCTTCACAATCTCAAGCTAGCGACTCCTTTAGTTTTGATGACTTTCAGAAACTTCTGAGTCGTTCATACGTAACCCCAAGTTTTCTCGCGCCCACCGATGTTGGACGTAATGAGTTTACTTGGGTCCTTTCTTCAACAGTGCGGAGGCAGTTGAACAGGCGGCAGTGTGTCAGCTGTTTCCTTGCACTCATGGCCCTCCTTTTCTGAATTCTTTGCCGCTGGGGCCACTTCGTGAAAGAGGTATTCGCACTTGGCCCAAATCTGACGTAGCTTTTCGTAGGTGGCATGCTCGTCTTGTGGGTCATGGTCCTACTAAGGCACTTTTTGATAGCGCTAGAATTTCTGATTTGTTGGAAGTCTCTATTCGCCCCCCTACTTTTGATTCAGCGCTTTTTCCGATTGCTTTGAGCTTTTGGTCCTCTGAGTATAACACCTTTATTTTTCCTCTTGGCCCCATGTCTATTACGTTAAGGGATGTTGGGGCCCTGGTAAATTTACCACCTTTGGGCGATACCATTTTCCCAGGCATCTTAGTTTCTGGTGGCGCCCCACAGTTCGGTAAAAACTATACCGATTCTTATTCAAGCCTGCAGACACTCCACAATCATTCGAGTGCTGAGCCTACCCATGCTGAGCGAGTGGCCTTCCTTTTAGTTTGGCTTTGTAAATATGTGTTGTGCGTGCCTAGTATAAAGCCCTCTCTGAGTTATCTACCTATAGCGCATGAACTGGCGCGTGGCAGGCCTTTGAATTTATGTTCTTTGTTTTTGGCTGCCCTTTATAGAGGTATGGCTTTTCTTCAGGCTCAATTGAAGAATGGTGCATCTCCTACTGGCAGTGGACCTCTTTGGTTCACTCAACTGTGGTTGAGATCCTATTTTTCATCGCTTGGTGCTCCATCCATTTCTCGTCCTTCTACTAGCTGTTACGGGCTAGCTATGGAGCCTTTAACTCCTGTAAGTATGTCCAGAAGGGACATTTTTTCATTCTTTTATTCTTTAGATTCAATCTCTTCCTTCTTTCCTTTTCCTCCTTTTTTGACTCCAGACTATGTACATCCTCCTTCCACTTTAGATAGCGCGAGCACCTCTTTGCTCATTTGGATCCAGTTCTTAACTGGGAGGGAGCTTTTCCACGATATCTTGACTGGGACCAATGCCAAAGCTGGGGTAGAAATTTATGCTCCCCAATTTTTTGCTCGGCAGCTTGGTTTCGGCCAAACTTGGCCTGTTCCTCTTTGCTATTCGAAGAATTTAAACGACCGTTTTCATACCGTTAATAAGGTGGAAGTAGAGGTTATAAACGCTCGCAACCTCCATTTATCAAGCTATTTTTCATTAGCCCCTTTTAATCCTTGTCATGCTACTTACCCTCTTTTCGAACAACTTTGGCCATCGGTAAAGCGCAGATTATTTGCGATTGAGACCAATCGTGCCTTTCATTCATTAGACCAACCGAGTATTTCTCCTCCTCCTCCTGTTTTGGTCACTCCTTTGTCTATTCGGAACCCCTCTCCTTCTCGTCGTACTAAACAATCTGCTCGTCCATCTTCTTCTCTCCCTGCCAGGCCAACTATGGCCAAGAGTGCTCCAAGCCACAAACGGCTAGCCTCAGCATCTCCCATTCTGGAGGATGATGTTGATGATGATGATGATGATGATGTCCCTCTTATCGTTAAGAGGAAGGTAATTAAATTGGTCTATTTACAAGTATGCTCTTCCCCATTTGAAATTTTTCTGTGTACTAATGATCTTTTGGACTTTTCAGAAAAGCTCAGCTTCCCCTTCAAAGGCTTTGGCATTACCAACTCCTGCTCCATCATCCTCTGTTGAGACTACTTCATCCAAACCGGTTGATGATGGGACCATGCTTAAAGGTACATCTTCAGTCCCAGATTCTTCATCACAACCCATGAATGAGCCACCTTCCTCCCAGGGCGTTGACCCCCCAATCATCGAAGCAGAAGGTAATTCAGTTTTTGATATCTTACCTTTGCTCGTGCTATTAGTTTCTGACTGGTTGCTCTTTGAACTTTGCAGATACTCCCATGAGTCCGCCCGCTGTGGCAACATCTTCTCGCTCGGACAAGGGGAAGTCCTCACGAATGGATGAGTCGTTGGTGGCCAGCTTGGCTGAGGGTGTGCCATCTTCTACGATTGTCGACGAGGTAGTTTTTCTCTTTGCCCCATTCCTATTTCCAACTTGTTCGTTGTAGCGAATATTTTTAATGATGGCAATCTTCTTTGCAGGATGCTGACAGGATTGTGCGTTCTATTCAGGATTTGTTCTCTTCCTGGGGGCAGGTCCAAATGCCTCGCCCTGCTCCATCTGATCGTCCTGCTGCTTCTTCAGAAGAGGACTTGAAGTTCTTGAAGGAGCTGGTATTTGAGTACGTGTCCTTCATGGACATGGACATTGGAAGGGCTAGTGCTGCCAGACACAAGGATGAACTTGAGCGCTTGAGTGCGAAGTTAGAGCAAGCACTGACGCTTCCGTCGCTCAATCTTTCTGCCGACTTTAAAGCGACGTTGAAGGTCATTCACTCCGAGGTCCTTACTATGCTGGCCAAGAACGCTGAACTAAAGGCCAAGCGTACTCAATATCTTTGAGCCGTAGCTGAGAAAGAGACTCTGCGCTTGGAGATCAACAAGGCTAAGGACGAGTTGAAAGAAATTTCTTCCGAAGTCATGATTGAAGACTCCTTGATGGTTAACTTGGCTGCTCAGATGAGGGAACTTCAAGCCAAAATGGACGATTGCAGGGCGAGGATGGCCGCTAAAAAGCGCAACGCCTCTCAGGGAATTGAGCGAACTAAATCCTTGGTCGAACAGTACAAGAAGCTGGAGGTTGATGATGATAACGTTGCGGCTGAATTGAACATCACTACCTCCCGACAGAACGAGGATTGGGAAAAACTTAGGGACCGAATTCGTTCCTTATGGGGTAGAATGTAATTAAGACACACGATGTCTTTTTCTTTTTTGTAATTTTGTTCCTTATTAATGAACATTAATTTCTTGTGCATTTATTTGATGTTTATTTTCTAATCATCAATTCTTTAAGCGTTTAACTGCTTTGCATTAAGAATTTTGTCCATTCTCTTTTAATATTCCCACTACTGTTCCCAAGACTTAGGGCCATTTAATTCTATCTATTAGACAGAAATGTGGCTGTTCATATTCTGTCTCTTCATCTTCACCCCCCTATAAATGTTTCGCATTTTTCATCATCTATCTTCATCTCCTCATTTTCTTATTCGAAACCAATTTGCTACCATTTCTTGGCATTCTGACGATCAATCTGATCCAAAAATGGACTATTTAGTCCGTCCGCCTTATACTTACTTTGATGTCACTTTTGGTATGGGAGGTATAAGAAATGTTTTCTGGCCCGCAGCGAAATTTTTACCTGCAAAATTCTTCCCATCGTCTCTTTGTTCTTCACAAGGAGTCAATGATGGAAGGCAATTTTTGGGCTGCTCATGGGCCATTTTGCTTGCTGAGAGTGCTTCTCAGCTTGCCTGCTGAGAGTGTTTCTCAGCCTATTTGCTCGCTATTGCAGCGATGTATTTAGGAAGGTGGTGAGGCCAGTACACCCTCTCACTCGTCAATCCCACCACTGCAGCGATGCATTTAGGAAGGCATTGTGAAGCTTACTCAGTGATCGACTGGGAGATCATCTTACTTAAGTTGTATTTTGTAACACGCCTATTACTTGTATCTTTTATATTCTTGTAATGAACGTTTGGTAATAAAGAACTTTATTTGAACGTATTTCGCTCTATCTTTATTATTTTTGGATCGTCCAGAATGTTTGGTTATGTTTTTATCTGTTCGCATTCCCATAAAGAAGGAACATATTTTTTCAAATATTTGCCATTAATGAATCTTACGTGCTTGGTGCCATCTAAATCTTCCAAGTGGTATACTCCATTAGGCAATACATTGTTTATTTTGTATGGTCCTTCCTAGTTGGGCAACCACTTCCCGTACTTTGGATCCTTGGTATCCAAAGGGAGTATCGTCTTCCAAACTAGTTCACCCAGGCTGAACGACTTGGCTATGACTTTTTTATTATAAAATTTAGCCATTCTTTGCTTTTGAACTTGCAAACTATCCAAGACGTCCAACTTCAATTCATCTAAACTTAATAAATTTTGAATTAGCGATTCGGCATACTCATCATCATTCAACTTATGTTGTAAGCACACTCGAATTGATTGCACGTTGATTTCCATAGGCAAAACGGCCTCCTGTCCATAAACAAGTTGGAAAGGAGTAACTTTGGTACTTGACCGAGGTGATGTTCTATAAGCCCATAAAGCCTTATTCAAACATTCGTGTCAATTTCTGGCGTTTTCCTCTATCATCTTTCTGATGATATTTTTTAGAATCTTATTAGAAGATTCCGCTTGTCCGTTGGATTGAGCTAATATGGTGTGGAGTTCACTAACTTAACTTCAAACTTGCTCAAGAATTCCATCACTTGATCTCCATTCAAAGAAGTTTCGTGATCTATCATCAAGTTTGTGGAATCCCAAATCTATAAATAATATGATCACTGATAAATTCTATAACACTCTTTTGGGTGATCTCCTTTAAAGGTATTGCTTCTACCCACTTAGTAAAAAAATCAGTTACAACTATAACAAATGTATGTTGCTTGGACGATGGGGGATAAATCTTCCCTATCAGGTCTATCGCCCAACCCTTGAACGACCAGGGTTTGTGAATTACGGGCAATATGATTCCGTATTCACAAGTAGACTTCCAATCCAAGATTTTAGAGTACCCTGAAGCCATTTGGGCCAACTCATTCGCCACGTCGTTATATATCCTATTAACGCATTGAAGTTCTACTTGATCGAATTCCTCTAATAATTCTTGGGCGATCTCATATTGACTTATAATGGAATCACTTTGGCATTTAAAATCACCAATTAATTGATGTATCACCAATTGAGAATCGCCCTTAACGATCACGTTTCTTACTCCCAAATCTATCATCAGTTCTAGGCCTACAATTAAGGCCTCGTATTTGGCTTGATTGTTGGTGCACATTCTGTCTAAGGTGAATACGAATTTGTAGCAAATCCCTAAAGGATTAATTAGTGCTACTCCTACTCCTGCACCTTTAGAGGTCTTTGACCCATCGAAATACAATACCCAAGGTTTTAGTCCGAACGAGTTGATTTCTAATTCGATTTCTTCAGGCATGTCAAGGCATGGATGATCGGCTAGGAAGTTAGCCAAAGCCTGATTTTTGACTGCCTTTTGAGGTATATAGTGTATTTCGAACTCTGATAAAGCTAGTGTCCAAAAGCCTACCCTTTGGTGTAAAACAGGGCGCGAGAACATATATTTGACTAAATTTACCTTAGAAATTAAATAAACGGTTACGGGCCGTAAATAAGCCCCTAACTTTGTACATGTGAAATACAGTGCTAGACACAATTTTTCAACAGCAGAGTAATTATATTCACATTTCGTTAACCGTCTACTCAAATAATAAATTGCCCTTTCTTCACCAAATTGGTCTTCCTGTGCGACCATTCCAGCTATTGATTCCTTTTCAGCCGATACATACACTTTCATTGGCCGTCCCTGGATTGGTGACACCAATACTGGTGGACTTGATAGATATGTCTTCAGGCTTTCAAAAGTCTTTTGATGTTCTTCTTTCCAGACGAATTCGTCCTGATTTTTCAGCTTTAATAGCGGCGAAAAAACTTTAGTTCGCCCTGCACGGTTAGAAATGAAGCGTCTTAAAAAATTTACTTGACCTAGAAACCTCTGCAACTCCTTTTTATTGCTAGGTGGTTTGGCTTCTAGGATGGCCTTCGCTTTATTTTTATCAAGTTCAATCCCTCTATTGTGTACTAAAAAACCAAGAAAATTCCCTGCATTAACACCAAATGCACACTTCAAGGAATTCAACTTTAGCTTATATTGCCTCATTCGTTCAAACGAACATTTTAACTGTTCGAAATGGTCTTTTTCTTTAATAGATTTGACTACTATGTCGTCTACATACACCTCAACAAACTTGCCTATCATGTCGTGAAAGATTAAATTCATTGCCCTTTGATAAGTTGCCTCTGCATTTTTTAGGCCGAAAGGCATGACCACCCATTCAAAACATCCTAGAGACCCAGGGCATCTAAAGGCAGTTTTGTATATGTCTTCTTCAACTATATAAATTTGATTGTATCCTGAATACCCATCCATAAAAGAATACATGACATGTCCGGCAGTTGAATCTACTAAAGAATCCACCGTGGGCATTTAAAAGCCTTTTGATGTTCTTCTTTCCAGATGAATTCGTCCTGATTTTTCAGCTTTAATAGCGGCGAAAAAACTTTAGTTCGCCCTGCACAGTTAGAAATGAAGCGTCTTAAAAAATGCACAGGCATTTGTTCATATTCCCAAGCAAAACAATCTTTGTATTCTTTTAACAAAGCGATTAATTTGTTATTGACCTCTTGGTCGAGCATCTGGCTGATGAACGTTGGGTGATCTTCTCCTTCATTGTCAATATTTACTTTGATCAGAGGGTCTTGTGCTTGAGCGTATCCAGGTTTGGCAATCCGCATCACTTCGTCGTCCAGTTCTTTTGTAAGTACTTCCTCTTCCAAACAGTCCACTTTGTTGACTTCTCGGCCAAGGCTTTGCTCTAACTCGAATACTGCCAACTTGTCCTTCAACGCTTTTAGGGCAGTCTCTTCCTTTGCTTTGTCATTGTATTCCTTATTGAAAACCATCAGTCTGGCTTTGAAGGCCTGAATATCGGCCATTTGTTTTTGCAATTCAGAATCCATTCAAGATTCCTTGATTATTCTTTTGCCAATCACTGGCTCTCCTAAGGCCACTATATTTGGCCTCATCTGTTTGAACATCTCAGTGAGTGCGTCCACTGAGAATGGTTCTTCGCTTTGTGCGACAACTTGAGTTTCTTCCCCGTCTTGTACCACTCTGACAGGTCCATAGTTTCCTTCGTACATAAACTTTTCCACTGAGTTTGCTTCTGCGACAAAAGGCCTATGATCGGCTTGCACCACTTCTGCTTCGCCTTTGTCATTCCAAAAAATCAGGCATTGATGGAGCGACGAGGGTATACATCGACTTTCGTGTATCCAATCCTTTCCTAGGAGCACGTTGTAACTAGTAGGACCATCTATTACAAAGAAGACAGTGATCCTAGTAGTCGTACCTATAGTTATGTCCAATAGCATAACTCCCTTAGCTGAAGTTGCTCCTCCATTGAAGCTGGTAAGGATGATTTCTGTAGGAATCATATCACCCTCTGTCTTTGCGAGCTTTCTCATCATTCTGGATGGAATGGTGTTTATAGCTGCTCCATTGTCGACAAGCACTTTTGCCACTGGGACGCCGTTAACTAGAGTTTTAACGTATAATGGCCTCAGGCGTTTTGTCAACTTCATGGCTGGCCGTTTAAAAACAACCTTTTCGGCAGCCTCTATTTCTACCTCTTGCTTGTTTTCTGTCGAATTATCCCCTTGTGATAGGTCGACGTGTAGTATGTTACGCTGATCCTCTGTCTCCTGAATCTCCTTCTTGCTTTTTTCTAATGCTTCCTCATCAGTTATCCAACCTGTGGGAGGAGGCATTATTTTTGCTTCCTCATCAGTTATCCAACCTGTGGGAGGAGGCATTATTTTTGGAGGTGACTCATACTTCTCAGAGCGAGGCACTCTCTTCTTCCTTTTGGGTGTCCCGTACAGTAAGTAGAAACCGAAAGGACGCCCAGATGGCTCCCCCAATAAGTCTACTTCGCGGACTCCCTCTTGATGTAGTTGCTTAAACAGAGTATTGCGTGATACTCCTCTCTTTTTCCTTTCTGCTTCTAGATCAATTTCTTCTTCAATGTCTGTCATCCCATCGTCCTCTTCATCGTTGTAGGCCTCTCCAGAAGTCTGGCCTTCTTCGCATACCAGCATGCAGGCTTCTCCTTCGTTGTCCTCCCTCTCTTCTTCTTTTTCCTTATTTTTGAACTCATTGGCCAGTAGGTAATTATTAGCCATGACGGGAGGCAACGTACCGAATTGGATAGCAAGGGGCTCATCTGGATCTTCT